TATCGTTAAATTACATCTAATACATTGCACTAAAAGCGTCCCATCTCATACTTGTCTATTACAAACTTTCCATGTGTCTTGTCACTAATTCAGTGTTCTGATCTCACCGACTCAAGCTCACTAAAACATGTATGTTATAACAAAAATATATGTTAAATAATAATACATATTCTAACCATTATGCATTCGTTTATTAATTTTTAACTAACACCAACACACATCAACCATTTTTCGCTTAAGTACGTCTAAACCATTACACCGTAATTAAAGCGCCATATCTCATTCTTAAATGTCAACAACCCATACTCACTAAACTGCGTATGTTGTAAAATAAATTAATAAATAGAACTATAAATACTCAAAACCAATCTGTAAGCAATTCTAATTTTTTAACTAACACTAAAACACAGCAATCATCGTCATTAGATCAGCATTTCTGTTTTGCAATAGCACTCTCTGACTATTTTACCTAAAATCAGCATTAATTTGAAACTATAGCTTCTAACACTTACACCACCATCTAAGTTTTCTAGCTTCTTTTAATCTTGTTGCAGTTACTTAGCAATTTACACATCTATTCAAGTTTACCAATAACAGTTACTTCCCATGTCAATATTTAGAATGAAACAAAGGTACTTAATCTGCAATGTTTCTTGTTAAATCAGTTTTAAATTTCGTTGAAATAAATGCAACAATTATATAAAATATTTATAACTAAAATGTGTGCAATACTTTAATTGTCTTTGTTACGTTATATCATTGTATTTTTAATTATCATTCTTTACTTTATTAAAATAATAAGGTTTAGACTCGTTAATATTTATTTAGTACATATGCAAATCGTCAGTTTAATCAATGTTCCATCATAAAAGAGGTTCTACAGGCCACATCTAAATCTTCATATAAAGAGATTTCTAAATTTTAAACAGGGAACTATAGTATAATTCAATGAAGATGTTTCGAACTTTCAAAACCACAATGTATTAATGTTCTCATGACTATGGTTCGTCTTTTATATTGCTTTCTAATAACGTTAAAACATGCATGGCGGTAAGGCTGTTACAACGCCATATTCTCTACCACCCCCACCAGTTACCAATGTTTCCACCCCACACCCTTTCACACACACACACAATTTCTGTAATCTCTTAGTTGGTCCTTCCCGGCCTGGATTCTGAGATACACAGTACAATTGAGTATTTTAAGGGAGGAAATTCATTAAACTTACTTTCGACTTGTGGTTCAGCCTCCACATGTTCAACGGGGTCCACTAGCTCCTATTTTTACAGTCTAAGTTTTTATTTTACTAAAACTAGTTGATCTTCTTGTGCCATTTTGTAAAGTATTTATTTCGTGAATGATTAACATGTTTTGTATAAAAATATAATACACTCATTTGTACTTTTAAAGTTAACTTTGTTATATCGAGTGATTGTAATTTACTAAATGCCTTAAAACTATTTTAATTAAATTGTCAGTTATTCATCGACCATGGTTATTTATGTTATTTTGCCGGTCTAAAAACCTTGTCCTATTCAATTGGTTATCGGACTTTGTTATTATCATTTTTGTTTAAATGCTATTAACTGCGCACATTGTTTTAATTAAGATGCTCATTAATGTTACTGCACCTGCAACTTCAATTGTATCAATACTTTAAAGTAGAGTGCTTATCCTGCCCACGACACAGCTAATAATATTTCCTTGGCTTGTCACAAACCGTGTATGGACAATAATTCCCTACACACCATGTATAATGAAAGCACATCTAAAATGAATCACTGACATTAAAGCTTCCCATCTCCTTTTTGCATATCAACAAACTGTCCATGCGTCATGTTAATAAATTACTGCCGTCTACATTTTAGTATCTTTTTAAAGTTGTTATTAGTTAATTTACAAAGCTATTCAATATTACTTATAACAATTACTTGTAATTTACGGATTTTTAAGAAAAATGATTAATAGCATATTTTAATATCAGCAGATTAGTTATGTTAATTAATCGAATTAGCCAATAACATGAATACGCCTATGTTCTACACAAACTCTGATGGGTACCTGAACTACGTTAGGTATATTCATTGCGGCTGGGTATAGTGCTGATCATGCTATCCCTTCATATGCCGAATATAGTTAGCTCTACTTCACCTTCCGTGTGGGATATCAGTTAGACAGGTAACTCTACGTTTACATTCATAGAACATTAATCAAAACGATTAAATAAATAAAATAAAAGTATGGATCAATCGCAACAGCACATTAAAAAAAAATGTCGTTTTAAAAGGCACAAAACCAGTTCTACTGATATATTATATTTTATTTATTTTTAAACATAAAATTAGATCACATGTTGGAAATTGCTGACCTTGATGCGAATAGTAGGGCATAACATATTTTATACAAATCAGTTATAGTGTGCCTTCAGTGCATTAAGTATTCTTTTATTATTGTAATTTTGTTCATAACGTTCAGTGTACATGTACTATCTTTATTTTACAAGATACAGAGATTTAAACTTTACCTAACCAGATTAGATGTCAATACATGGACGTGAATTAAATTGTTATATATTTTTTCAAAGAAATTACGACAAAAGATGAATTTAAAAACGGTAAAAAAATTCATAAAAAAACATTTTAATAACAAGCTTTTATGTACTAATGCACTAAAAAGTAGAAAATAAATTATAGACTACTATTTATAACTATAAAGAAAAGCGTGGGTCACTTTAGTACTTTAGTACCTATTTTATACCTTTACTAATATTTGAGAAGAGACCCACGCTTTTCTTTATAGTTATTTAAATAGTAGTCTATAATTTATTTTCTACTTTTTAGTGCATTAGTACATAAAAGCTTGTTATTAAAACGTTTTTTTATGAATTTTTTTTCAGTACTTTACATGTTTTATTTACAATAGTGTTACATGACTAAAAACCATTGCGCGTCTATTGAACGTGATGGCGCAGCTATTCAACCTGATGGCGCAGCTATGGAACGTGATGACGCGTGTGGTGTGGTTGGATATACATGCCTATTGATTCGGTCCAAATTTTAATTAATTAATAAAAAATTAATTAGGCATCCAATTAAGTCAAATTTAGTTTCAGATTGCATTGTCTTCATGTCTTGACCCACGTGCCAACTGTGAATCGTATCGGTCAAGTAGTACTGTCCGAATTTTCACTCCTGCGTTTCCATCTAGACAGACAGTCTGTTGACAAAATGTCGACAGACTGTCGACAGAGGAAGTGAGTTAAATAAAAGCTTGTAAAAAAAAATTCATAAAAAACGTTTTAATAACAAGCTTTTATGTAATGATGCACTAAAAAGTAGAAAATAAATTATACACTAATATTTAAATTACTATAAAGAAAATCGTGGGTCACTTTAGTACCTATTGGATACCTTTACTAATATTTGAGAAGAGACCCACGCTTTTCTTTATAGTAATTTAAATAGTAGTGTATAATTTATTTTCTACTTTTTAGTGCATCATTACATAAAAGCTTGTTATTAAAACGTTTTTTATGAATTTTTTTTTCAGTACGTTACATGTTTTATTTGCAATAGTGTTACATGACTAAAAACCATTGCGCGTCTATTGAACGTGATAGCGCAGCTATTAAACCTGATTGAACGTGATGACGTATGTGGTGTGGTTGGCTAGACATGCCTACTAATTCGGTCCAAATTTTAATTAATTCATAAAAAATTAATTAGGCATCCAATTAAGTCAAATTTAGATTTAGATTGCATTGTCTTCATGTCTTGACCCACGTGCCAACTGTGAATCGTATCGGTCAAGTAGAACTGTCCGAATTTTCACTCCTGCGTTTCCATCTAGACAGACAGACTGTCGACAGAATGTCGACAGACTGTCGACAGAGGAAGTGAGTTAAATACAAGCTTGTAAAAACCAAGTATGTTCAATGGCTGAAAACTTTGAACTGACAATCGTTTAACGAAACAATCCAATGTTATAAAAGTACTTTAAATATTTATAAGTATTATGATTTAGCTAAACTAAATTTAAAATAAATGTAATATGTATTTACATCTTTATCGACAACAAAAGTAAAAATAATTACATTTTAATTTCTAAAAATAATTTCAAAACATATTATGACGGCTTACGAATCTTTTATATGTAACATTTTTTTTTGCGCAATAATACTGTTTTATGTCCCTTAATAGTTTTATTTTCTTACACGGTAGATAATTATTGCAGATTAATTTTATACATTTAAAGAACTTTATATTAAAAATATTACAATGCTATCAATACATACATATACAATTATACACCATATGTGGTATAAGTTAGTTACACCCAATATATCTATATATATAGAGAGAGAGAGCAAAGTATTAAGATGCACGATCGGGTACTTCATGGCGCCGCAGGCTCTTCAAATTTTTCAGGCTCATTCATCGGTCTACGAAACACGGGGACCAGTGTCGGTCGGCCCCAAATTCCACGATGAGGGGTCAAAACTGACCTCGACTGAACGGCGCCTTATATGAGCTTTATATCAAAATATATATTTTGCCGAATTACCCCCCCCCCCCCCCCCTCCTTTATTTATGTTGTAAGATGGTAGAAAAACGCAATTGGGGTGGGTGGGGTCGTTTAGTGTTGAATTCACAAATTATGAATTACTGATAAGCAGAAAATAAACATATAAATAGCGGCGTACGCTACGCCGCAGGTGTGCTCGTTGTTAACAACATGCTTTAACTTATATAAATATATTATTATTTCAAAATAATTTACATTTCTGTACACTGACACCAGGTAGAGAATAAAAAAAAACAACCTAATCCCTTTTATTTGACTTTGTAATAAGCAACTGAATGATCACATTGATAATTTTAACTACCATGAGTATTTGCCTCCACTACTCCTAAAATTATCATCATTTAACATTCATTACAAAGAGACAATTTTTAAGCTTACTAAAGAAATTTAGTAATGCAATTGGATTTCTATTATATTGTAAAATTGCCTTTTAAACATTTAGTATAAATTAGGTAAAAAAACAATTTATTTGTAATTAAAGCCTGGAAATTATTTGAATGAAGCATCAGTTTTTCTTCCAGGTATATCTTACAGCATGACTCTTTTTAAAAAAATCTGATAGGCTTTAACTCAAAATTTCTTTCTCGTTCTGCAAAGACTATGTTATCAAAATTATTGGATGTTTAACTTAAACAAAGCAACTTTTAAAATGATAATGAAAAAATATGAAACCTTCAGTTCTTCACCGTTTTACTTAACTATTTTACATCCTTTAAATATCTATTTGACTGACTTATATAAAGAAAGGACAATGTAAAACTGACAATTCTTTCTGTAGTTTTCCAGTACAGCTTTTTAATAGTCTTCGCCTCTTGATACCACCTCCTTGCAGGTGGGTCTCAAAATGATAGTGTGCTCAAACTGAGCGGTATATGAGCCTTTTTGATCACAGAGAGGAGGGTAAGGATCCACAATTCCAGCATCACACAAGTTTTTCAGGGCCATTAAACCCATATTCTGCTAGCGTCCCACTTATGGGACGCTTGTAAAAAAAATTGCTAAAATTTATAAAAAACTAATTAAAACACAAATTATGTTTCATTGTATTTGAAAATGGTTAGACTATTGAATTTGTGTGTGTTTTGTGAAAAAAAAATAATTTAGAAAAATTTTATAGTGCCGGATTTGCAGGACTTGTCAAAATGGCGGAAAAAAGAAAACACGGGCACAGGAAAACGCATATCTTCTAAAATATTAACATTTTAAGTGCAAAATACATTTGAAACTTGTAGCAGTACCATATTTCTATCTGATAAAAATTTAAGAATAACAATTTTTTTTTACTACTTCGTTATATCAAGTGTACAACAAGCGTCCCATAAGTGGGACGCTAGCAACGAAAGGCCCCATGTAGATTGTTATACAAACGTCACATTTATTGGACACTAGCGAGAAACACAGATGCAAATGTTTATGTTAAATGGTTATTTATTGTGAAACAATGGTTGACTTTGTTAACTGCTGACTTTGGGGTGTTAAGTAGTATTTATAGATATTTAATTATGACCTTGACCTATATTTATGCAGATTGTTACACAAACGTCACATTTATTAGACACTAGCGAGAAACACAGATGCAAATGTTTATGTTAAATGGTTATTTATGGTGAAACAATTGTTGACTTTGTTAACTGTTGACTTTGGGGTGTTAAGTAATATTTATAGATATTTAATTATGACCTTGACCTATATTTTCTTATATATTATTGTATTAAAAAATTGCAAATATTGAAAAACTTACATTTTATTTTTAAGTTTTCAGAATTACACTTACTGAAGTATTTAATACCATTGAATACAAACTAATTTAGTATTGCTGTAAATTTACTAACGCTTGATATTAAAATTATAACAAACCAGAATAATATCAATGACCACGATTTAGGTGAAATGATTCAGTCATGGGGGTTGGTTAACTCTCTTCATAAAAGAGAGCTTAAGCTACATATAGCAGAGATGTGAATTAGCTGTGTACAGTTGTCATGCCCCAATAATATTACCCTGCAAAGGTTCCCGATACCAGTTTTACTTTGTTAACTGTTTAAGGAGATTCCTGGTGTTAGATTGGGAGCTGTTCGCATAGTGCGGTGCATACTTGGATGAGAGCCATGAACACTCAATACAAGCCCCCAGAGACGGATCCGTGCCCTAGAAATAAGATGTCTGATGTTCTAATGTACGCCTGTGAGGGGGGTGGGGTGAATAGCGAGGTTAACAAAAGAAAAGATGGCTGGATGACATCTGGGACTGGACCGGATCTTCTTTTGCAAATTCACTGAGGGCAGAGTTTCTTTCAGGCATCATTTCGGGGGAGGGTGGGGGGGGGGGGGGCTCTGCCCCCAGAAAAAAATGGAATTTATATACAAAGCATACTTTTACCGATGTCCACCCTTCCCCTGAAATTTAAGTCCCCACCTCTGAAAATTTCAAGTACGCCCCCGTATAAAATCAATTCTTTATATTTAATTATATTACATTTTCGATGAATAATAACAATATTTGTGATCATGTGTGTATAATTAGATGTACTAGTCACAGCTTTACTTATTTCCAAGTGTTGTTCACTTTGATGGATGCTATATTGAAAGAAAACTAGACTTTTGAACATAATTTCTGCATTTTCGACCATGGTATGGCTAACCCAATTGATCATTATCAGTATTTTTAGCTGTCCTAAACAATGTAATCGTTGTTCTAACAATACAACATCAGTATACAGCTTTATTTTCGCGTGATTAGCCATATTTTGTGATAAATGATTTTATTTTTCAATAAATGTTCATGGGGCCGTTCGTTGCTAGCGTCCCATTTATGGGACGTTTTTTAAAAAATCGATATTTAAAAAAGTATTGATTTTAAAAAAAAATCCATAGTCATTCCTTCATTCAGTGCCCAAAAGCTAAACCATATCCAAAAATTATAAAAATTTGAGACCTTGGGATAATATGGGTTAAGTATTTGCTGTGGCCCAGCCTATCCAGCCAGCGACGACAGAAAGCCAGGGTCCCAAAGTTCTGGTTGATGACATTCAACACCTATTTAGACTTGGCAAGCGGAACATGACCAACTTCAAAGTTTTTCATGTAATGAGAGACTTCCATATCATCATTTACATGGCCTTTGCCAGTACTGCCAAAGCTTTCAATAGCATAGACTTCACCTTCCTCCATCCTGGTTGCTTCACCCCCTTTGATAATTGGCACAGTTTTTTCACCATGTATTCTGTACTGACCAATAGAGTGACCATTCAAGTTTCTAATTGGCTTAACTTGGTAAGTTTTACCATCAAGCTCCACCTCATATGATTCCATGACTTCCTGTATCTGCTCACCAACATCACACAGCCTCGCATCAATACCTGCAGCACGCACACCATGACTTCCTGTATCTGCTCACCAACATCACACAGCCTCGCATCAATACCTGCAGCACGCACACCATGGCTTCCTGTATCTGCTCACCAACATCACACAGCCTCATATCAATACCTGCAGCACATACACCTGTGTTGGTTGCATCTTTAACTACCAATAGTAGCTGATCATATTTCGGGTTGAATGTCAAAGTAAAGGCACAATCCACAAGGTGACCATTCATGTGGGTTCCAAAATCAATTTTGTCTTTTTTTTTTTTTTTTTTTTTAATAATTTTATTTCCAATTCGAACAAGTAACACCAGCATGTATGTGAATACATTTGTCTGTAGTAACATATATCAAGGATTTACAGTAAACCAATTTACTTAAAATGTACACATAAGTGCATAAGACATCTAACATTTACAGAATGCTATGCAAAATGCGGAATTGGTGATCTGAATTATAGCTATGGAAAGAAAAAAGGAAGAATAAGTTAAGAATAAATGGATGAGTGGTGGGGGTGATGTGGACCAGAGGCGTAGCGAGGACGGGGGGGGGGGGAGGTGCGGACCGCACCGGGTGACACCATCAATTTTTTTTTTTTTTTATTTTTTTTGGCGTTTAATAGATTTCCTTACTTACTGTCTACCCTTCGCAGGGAGGCAGTAAGAGAAGGTTGCATGATTATATACATGAAATATTAAAATAGTTCAATACATGGCATGCATTCAATTATACATAAGCGTTTACAAAACGTCTAAGATACCTATTTTTTCTTATGGTGTACACTTGTATGTGCCCTCATGCTCTCTAGTGGGAGGGATAAGTTACAGTCTCTACAGTCATGCATCGTCACTTCTTGATGGTTTTCTGCAAAGTGTGTGCGTATGTCTTGGTAATACCCTTTGTCTGCACAAAGATCACACTGTAAGTATCTGAGGTGGACACTTCGTTCGTGCCTTTCCCTTTTCAGGGGTGATTTATATTGTTCTAAGCATAACCTGCAGTGACTGAAGTCATGAATTAATTTTTTACTTTTTGTTTTTTTCTTTTCCTCTGTGGGGCTATCTTCCTTCTTCCTTTTGAAAGTTGTAGTGATGTCCATATCTGAGAACGAGAGCAGAGTGTTCGTTTTTTGGGCTGTTGATGCAGATGGTTTGTCTGATTCCGACCTTGCTGCGCCTGTTTGTTTGCTAGGTGTTGATGGTATACTTGGCGGCTTGACTGGGATGATTGGGTTTTTGACCGATGCTTGTTGGTCGCTTGGTGGTGGTGCTGGCTGAGCGGATGGCGTTGTTTTTTGTAGTGTAGATTGTGCTGGTGTTTGATTACTGGGCGTTGTTTGTAAGTTGAGAGTTTGACAGCGGTTGGTCCAGTGTTCAGTTGACGAGCATGTTTGGCAGGCTTGTTTTCCGTCTTTGATGGCTATTAGAATGTTGAGTGTCTTGTTTTTGTAGTTTATTTGGATGTAGTGAGGGATGGATGATGGGTTGTCAGTGTATATTGAGAAGTTTCGATTGGTAGTGAGGGGGATTGTGTATATAGAAGGTTCAATTTTGTCTTTGTGTTTAAAAATTAAAGACCCGCAGCGACATAAACCAGCTACTACTATCAACTGAAAGTTTTCTTTAATATATACAAAAACAATTTTATTTTATTTAAAGCTTTCAGATTTGTGAAAAGGGAAAACAAAAAAGTAAAATTTGTAAACAATTATAAATTATAACTCATCCAGTTTTGCAAACACATTTCAAATAAAAACTGAACAATATTTAGCATATTATTTTTAAATCAAAGTAAATTTAATGTTTAATTATGTTTTGGAACCAAATTAATGTATTATCTCCCTTAATAAGTTTAAATAATAAAAACGGGAAGTAACTGTTAACAGTAACAATAATTGCGTGAATGCATTAAAATACGGAATATTGTGATGGTGTTAGTCAAATGCGTCGCGAGGCAGAAATATGGTTTTCCGAAGGTCAGTGACTGATTAATTAAAGTTAAAAAGTCTATTAAGTACAGATTGACGATCTAGTAAAGGTAGAGTGGGGGAACCCCATTGCAAAATTGCTAACTATAGAGAAAACAATGATACATACATCTGAATAATTTACAGAGGAAGAAAAGTTTAGTGGAATATGTTCAAGTAAATGAATGACCTTGGTGGCTGTGAGACAATGTGAACTTTTGAAAAGTTTAGTGGAATATTTTCAAGTAAATCAGTGACCGGGGTGGGTTTGAAACAATGTTTAATTTACTTTTTTTTCTACTTAAGTTATGTGTAGTTCAATAGAAAAAAAAATGTGTATGAGGGGATGGTAGCACCCATTGCATATATATATATATATATATATATATATATATATATATATATATATATATATATATATATATATATATATATATATATATATATATATATATATATATATATATATATATATATATATATATATATATATATATATATATATATATATATATATATATATATAAAGCAAAGTGGTCAAGTGCCCAATAGGGCACTTCCCGGCGACGCAGGCGCGTCACATTTGGCACGATGGTGCCTTGGGGCGATAGAACACGAGGGACGGTGACGGTTCGCCGAAAAGTCCACGGGGAGGGGGTCAAAACTGACCTCGACTGACGGGCGCCTTATATGGGCTATATTACGAAAACAAATTTCCTCCTACGACCCCCCTTGACATTTTGTGAGGTGGTAGGAGACCGCCTTGGGGTCTCACAAAAATGTTTACAATCGTAGAGCCGGGTTTAGTGACGGCTATTAGGGGCAGATCATTTAGTTTGAAACGATTTTAAACTTAGGGGAGGTAACAGAGAGGAGGCTGCTTTCACTGGGGTAGGGGGGGGGGGGGGTAGGATAGGGGTTGGGAGAATGAAGGGGTGGGGGTATCTTCCTTAACGACCTACTAATAGTCTTTTAAAGCAAATATTTTCAGTGGCAGCATTGGTACTGTCGAATTCACAAATTATGAATTACTAAAAAGTAGAAAATAAAACAATTAAATAGCGACATATGATACGCCGCCGGGCGGCTCGTATATTTTATTGTAAATATGTTTCTAACAATTAGAGATTAACATAAACGAGATTTACTATATTTATGTTTTAGTTGTAACATACAATGTAATATAAGTTTGACTTGCAGAAAACGTAGAGTTCTAATCAAATATTCTTTATCAGCCATGTATTTGCTGCTTTCGAAGTTGGTTTCACACAGAAAGCAGGATGCTGTTCCGTCTTCTGATTGTGTGTTTTCTTCTTTCTTTGTCGTTGTTGAAAGAGAGTAGGCGATATCCGCACACTACCTTCCTGTGTGGGGACTGTATTTTTGCAGATTTTGTTTTCCTTTCTTTTGTTATATTTGGACTGATGTATTTTGTTGTATAATTATGTATCCATATTTGCATGTGATTTTCTAGCATCATGCTTGTGACAATTTGTTAGTATGAGATTGATCTTTGTGTTAAAAAGAAAAAGAAAGAACCAGTACTTCGGAAGCACCAAATATTATCGATTGAACGTTTTCTGACATATACAAAATAAATGTTATCTTATTTAAAGCTTTCTGTTTTTAGAAAAGAGAAGACTACTAAGTAAAAGTAGCAAGAAATTATAAATTATAACCTACACACTTTTGGAACAAATATTTCAAATAGAAAATAAACAACCTTTTACATATTATTTTTCAATTTATGTTAATATAATGTTTAATTATGTTTCGGAATTAAATGGATGTATTACCTACCTTATTGTGTTTAAATAATAAACACGGGAAGTAACTGTTACAAGGAACAATAACTGCGTGAATGCATTTAAATAAGGAATATTGTGATGGTGCAAGTCAAATTCGTCGCAAGGCAGAAATATGCTTTTCCCCAGGTCAGTGATTGATTAATTAAAGTTTAGAAGTCTATTAAGTACAGATTGACGATCTCGGAAAGGGAGGGGGGTGGGGGGGTGACTCCATTGCAAACTTGCTAACTATAGAGAAAACAATGATATATCCATCTGAATAATTTATAGAGAAAGAAAAGTTTAGTGGAATATGTGCAAGTAAACGAATGACCGGGTGGGGCTGTGATACAATGTGAACTTTTGAAAAGTTAGTGGAATATTTTCAAAGAGCCGACCCGCGGCGTATCATACGCCGCTATTTAGTTGTTTTATTTTCTAAATTTCAGTAATTCATAATTTGTGAATTCGACAGTACCAACGCTGCCACTGAAAATATGTGCTTTAAAACACTATATGTAGCTCGTTAAGGACGAGACCCCTCCCCCTCCTTTCCCCACCCCAAACCCCCCCCCCCCCCCTACCCCACTCCCCGTGAAAGAAAACTCCTCTTAGTTACCTCCCCTAAGTTTAAAATCGTTTCAAACTAAATTATCTGCCGATCTATTCTCATTATCATCGTCTGGCAGCGGAGATTATTCTGGTACTATTTTTTTTGGCTTATTTCCCCTTGATTCTTCCCTTGTTATTTTCCTTTTCCTTCTTTTGTTGTCTTCTTCCTCCTCTGTGTCTGTCTCTTGAATTGTTTGTGGATTTGATTTGTTTCTATTCCTCGCTTCTGCTCTTTCTTCAGAAGGGAGTGGCAATGTGTCCCAGTTTTGAAAATATCTGATACCTCTACTATTTATTTGCATTATCATTTCTTCTCTGCTATCATATGACCATTCCCCTGATGTAACAAACTTACCATCCCTTAGTTCTCTGCTATCATATGACCATTCCCCTGATGTAACAAACTTACCATCCCTTAGTTTGATTGCATCCACCACCCTACAATACAGGTTTTCACAAATGTTTTTATCGCGTTTCTGCTCAAAACCCGAAACACAAAATAGTGAGCATTTCGATATACATACATACACACACACATATATATATATATATATATATATATATATATACATCCGTTGAATTGGGAGGATTAGTATTTCTAGTGTTTTATTGCTGTTCTGAAAGATACAGTTAATGTGTTACGACAGCATTTCCAATCCTAGACGTGTGCTTAGAAATCTATGCTACTTAAATACACAGGTCGGTAAGTAAATATGTATTGATATAATTGTAATAGTTTTAAAAAGCGTTAATTTGGATTAGTATTGCATGAATTACTAATAACAACCGGCAATCGATATCTGCTATGTCAGTAACTAAAAATATCAACTTACATAAACCAGTAACCTTGTTCGATAAATCGGTTCCA